TTGAATTTTTTTCAAATTTTTAAGAATAATTGCGTTTTTAGCGGAATTAATTTAAAATTATATTAAAAATAATTGAAATTATTATTCATCCTGCAATGAGTTTTATTATTTATGAAAATAATTTACTTTTTGTCACCGAACTTTAATAAAGTTTTTAAAATAATTGCATTTTTGAGAAGAATTGAAAAAAAATTTTTTTTAAAGAAATGATATTTTGCAAAAAATTTTATTAAAATTGTGTTTTAAATAATTTAATTTCTTTGAAAACTGTATATTATTTATGAAAAGAATTAAATTCTTTCAAAAAATTTTATTAAAATTATATTGAAAACAATTCTATTATTATAAAGAATTTCATTAAAATTTTTAAAAATAATTGAGTTCTTTCAAAAAATGTTATTAAAATTTTTATGAATAGTTTCATTTTTTGCGAAATTCATTTAAAATTGTATTAAAAATAATTGAATTTCTGTGATGAATTTTATTGCTAATGAAAATAATTGAATTTTTGCAAAGAATTTTATTAAAATTTCTAAAAAAAATAATTGAATTCCTATTAGAAGAATTTTATTATTTTTAAAAATAATTGAATTCTTGGGAAGAATTTTATAAAAATTTTTTAAAAATAATTTAATTCCTGAGAAGATTTTTATTATTTTTAAAAATAATTTAATTCTTGGGAAGTTTATTAATTTTTTTTTAAATAATTGAATTCTTGTGAAGAATTTTATAAAAATTTCTGAAAATAATTGAATTTCTGCGAATAATTTTACTTAACGTGAAGGTAATTGAATTTTTCTGAAGAATTTCATTAAATTTTTTGAAAATAATTAAATTGTTTCAAGAAATATTGTAATTAAAAATGTAATTGAAAATAATGATTAAATTCTAACATACAAATTATATCAAACTCATTTTAAATAATTGTATTTTTCGCGGATTTCTTTTAAAATTGTATCAAAAATAATTAAAATCCTTAGATGAGTTTTAAAATTTTTGTAAAATAATTGAATTATTGCAACGATTATTATTAAAAATTTTCAAAAATAATTGAATTCCTGAGAAGAATCGTATTATTTATAAAAATAATTGAATTCTTGCGAAGAATTTTATAAAAATCTATTTAAATAATTGATTTTTTTCGAAAAATATTAGAAAAATTCTGTTTTAAATAATTGAATTCCTGTTAAAATTTTTTTATTTATGAAAATAATTGAATTTTTGCAAAGAATTTTATTAAAATTTTTTTTAAATAATTGAATTCCTCAGAAGAATTTTATTATTTTTAAAAATAATTGAATTCTTGGGATGTTATTTTTTTTTGTTATTGCTACTATTATTTTTACTATATTCTTATTATTTTTTAAATTGTTTTAACAACTGTTTTATTGTTAGAATAATATTATTATATTAATATTATTATTATAATATCTGATAATATTATTAAATAATAATATTATTATATTATTATAAAATTATTAAGAAAAATATTTTCCATAATGTAAAACTAACAAATTTGCATATTTCCAAATTTCTAATTTACAGATTGTTAATTATTTTTTTAAGATCAATGAACGCCTCATTTGATGGGAGAAGATGAGTCATGAAACATTTTAATTAAAAGGATGCGATGACTAATTCTACCATAAATGATTTAGCGATGAAGAAAATAAATTGTTTCACAAAAATCAATTTTAAAAATCACATACACTGCTGAAAAAAATTTATTTGATTCAAATGACCGATTACTATTGACTATTATCAATTAAAATATTTACTTGAATTAAGTAATTTATATTTAAATCAATTAAATGGTATTTGAACCTATAATTTCAGTATTTGAAGCAAATATGAATTGAACCATTTAATTGATAAATAAATATAATAAATATTATATATTTATTTAATAAATTTAATAAAAATTATATTTATTTAATAAATTTAATAAATATTATATTTATTTAATAAATTTAAAGTAAATATTTAATTGATAATAATCAAGTAATCGGTTATTTGAATAAAATAAATTTTTCTTTCAGTGTAATAAGTATTATAAAAAAATAAAATTTGAAGTTAGAATTTTTCGCTAATTGAGAAATAATTTCTACTAGACATCAACAATTGAATCGTTCCTTTGTTTCATGAAATGACACTTGATACACAAAATTTTAATTTTTGCCCACGAATAGTATTATTAATAATAATAATATTATCAATATTAGAATTTGGATATTAATCAATAGCATATCTATAGCATCTGTTACATACGCTATATAAAGCTAATATTACCATTCCGGTTTTTACATAATTTATATATATATATATATATATATATATATATATATATATTTATAAGTATGTACGTATTAAACTATAAATAATTTATGATTCTCTTTGGAAATTTCATCAGAGTGAAAATACTGTTATTTTTAATGAAATGCCTCGTGTTTTCAAAACGGTTTCTTTTTTACTATTGGGTGTTGTAAATGAATATTCTCATATAGTTAAATTATTCAAGAAAAAAAAAGAACTGGAATCATTGATTTTTCAATTGAATGTTAGAAAGCTTGTAAAAATTGAGCATGCTATTAAATACATAGATATTAATTTGTACATTCTTTTTTTTTGTAATATTGTATACAAGAAGAATTTTTAATTACAGTAGAATTAAATTTCTCTAAATTATATTGTTTTGTTATGTTTCATTTAATTGAAAATATAACTTAAAATTCTTCTGCAATTTCTTCATGTATATTATTTTTAATATTAAAAAATAATAATAAGAATAATAAGAATAAATTGGTAGGTGGTCACTTTTTCTAAAAAATATTTATTAATCCTTTTTTTATCTGTTTTATCTTTTTAATCTGTTTTTTAAAAAAAGTTTTTCTAACAAGTTTTGATTTCTAAGAAAAGTTTTTCCAAAAACAATTTTGAATTATTTTTCAAAAAATATTTCTTAAAAAATATATTTATTAAAAATAACAATAATAATTATCCTAAAAGAGATGCAAAGAGTACAATTTTTCTCAACACTCGAAAGAAAGGGGAATATAATTACGTGATCAATTAGATATTATTATTATAATAAATAATTAAATTGACAATAATTTTTTTATTTAAAAAGAAAAAAAAGAAATGCACCTCTTTTTCGCACATAGTAACCAAATATTCAAACTACTACGAAATTGAGAGTTAATTCATCTTCTGAAACTCGTTCTGCAATCTGGTTCCACTTTATATGCAACCAGAAATTTAAAAAAAAAAAAGGAAACAAAATTGTTTCCCAAGGAAGGTCTTTCAGTTAGTTAACCTCAAGTTAGTGAGTTCAATTTCAAATGGCATTCGCAATAAAAATTTCATTTCTTTTTCTTAAAGAGAAAATGAGAAATAAAAAACACTGAGAAATATGTTTTTATTGTATTGTAAAACTAATTTTTGGCTCTTATTTGCAATATTTTAATTTTTTTTCGTCTCACATTATAAAATAATAATAAAAATAATATTGATAATAATAATTAAAAAATTTGAAAATAAGAATTAAAAAATCAATAAAAAAATAAAATTCCGAATTTATATTTCCTATCGAATATTTTTCAAATTAATTTTATTAAATAAATAAATAAAAAAAAAAATTTTTAAGTCAGAAAATAAAATTCAAGTATTTTTTTTGTTATAGAATATTTTTTCAAATTAATTTTTTTATTAAATATATAAATCAAAAAACTATTTTTTTATCAAGGGAATGAAATTCTATTTTTTGTATTGTATCGAATATTTTTGCAAATTAATTTTTTTATCAAATAAATAAATAAAAAAAATTTTTCAATTCAAAAAATAAAATTCTATTTTTTTCTATCAAATATTTTTTCAAATTAATTTTTTTATTAAATAAATAAATAAATAAAAAATTCTTTTATCAAGGGAACGAAATTCTATTTTTTGTTTTCTATCTAATATTTTTATAATTTAATTTTTTTTTATTAATAATTAATAAATAAATAAAAAAATTATTCTATTATCAAGAGAATAAATTTTTATTTTTTTGTTTTCTATCGAATATTTATTCAAATTAACTTTATTAATTAAATAAACAAATTAAAAAATTATTCTTTTATCAAGAGAATAAAATTCTATTTTTTTGTTTTCTATACAATATTTTTCCAAATTAATTTTTTTATTTAATAAATAAATAAAAAAATTATTCTTTTATCAAGAGAATAAAGTATAAAATTCTATTTTTTTGTTTTCTAACGAATATTTTTTCAAAGTAATTTTTTTTTTATTAATAAATAAATAAAGAAATTTATCTATTGGTATCGAGAGAATAACATTTTATTTCTTTGTTTTCTTTTAAATATTTTTAAAATTAACTTTATAATAATTTTATTAAATAAATAATAATATTATTCTTTTATCAAGTGAATAAAATTGTTTTTTTTTGTTATCTTTCAAATATTTTTTCAAATTAATTTGTTTATTGAATAAATAAAAAAATTATTCTATTATCAAGAGAATAAAGAATAAAATTCCATTTTTTTTGTTTTCTAACGAATATTTATTCAAATTAACTTTTTATTAAATAAATAAAAAAATGCCCTTTTATTCAATGTTTTCCAGTTTCATTAAAGAATTAAAAAAAGAAAAGAGAAAAAATAAAATCATTCATAAAAATAATTCTTCACACGAAAAGTAAATAAAACTCGAGAAAGCAGATGCTAATTTTATTCCTAAACAACAGACAAATTTTTAAATTTAGAAGAAAAGTAATTTTTTTTTTCCAGTGAAAGGGTTCGTGTATAAGACAATAAAAAAAAAGAAGAAACGAAAAAGAAGAAGGAGTACACAATACATAATGAAAAAGTCAGAGAAGGAAGACATGCGGTGAGACGAGCAAGAAGAGAGTTGAGGCCCACAAACAGTACTTCTTCTTGAACTAATGGAAAATAGGGGGAGAGTGGGACTGACACGTGACCAATGACTTATATAAAGGTGAGAACCGGCAGGGCGCCAACACAGTTCTCCTTAGCAAGGGGGATATATAAAGTGTCCATTAACTTATAATTTTTTTAATTGTGTCAAGTAAAAAAAAAAAATTTTTTTTTGTTAACTCTCTCCTAGATTTAAGCCGGTAGTAGTCAGTTAATTTCACAGAATACCTTGCCATGAGGACGTACGTCGTATTAGCCGCCATTCTTCTCGCCGGTACGTACTTGAAAAATGGAATCAAATCAACGAGCAAAAATTTTATTTCGACTTTTAAGTTCAAAAAAGAAAAGAAAATACAAAAAAAATACAAAAAAAAAAGTGCCACTTTAGTGAAATCAGTGTGTGATTAATATATAAAAATGGATTTTTAATCTGTGAAAATTTATCCAAAGTGATCATCTCAAAGTCCATAATTATATTTTCTGTCCCAAATTATTTTTTCTTTTAAAGTGAGACAAAATCATTCAAATTTTTTTTCAAAGTGAAACTTTTTCGTTTGACAGTGACAATCGAAAATTAAAAAAGTGGGGTTCTTTTTAATGATTTAATTCAGTACTTTTTTAAGGGGGAAGACATTTTTCAAAAATATTTAAGTAAATATTATTATTATTTTTAACTATTTGTCGGTTTATCTTAAATAAATAAATAAATAAAAAAGATTTGAAGAAAATTCGAAAAATATTTAAATAAAAATATATTAATAAACTCTATGAAAACATAATTATTTCAATTATACATAATACCAAACAATAATAAATTATTTAAAGTCAAATTAAATTTTAATTCCATATAAATTTTGATAAATTAAAAAAAAAATTTAACTTACTTTTTTTTAAATATTACGAGCAACAATAATTTAATCATTTCTTTTCTATGGCTAATTGATTAATTAATATCATTAATAATATTCATTCATTCAAATGTAATTTTTAAATGTACTTTAATTTATATTTAATTTTAATTAATTTATAACAAATTTATTTTATTTATTTATTTTATTTTTAACAAATTTATCTTATACGGATTCATAAGATTTAATTTGTAATAAATTTACTTTAATTTATATTAAATTTTAATTAAATTATAACAAATTTTCTTTTAATTTATATTAAATTTTGAAATAAATTAAATTAAATTAATTTTTTACAAACAAATTTTAGTTTTTTTTAATTCATAAAATTGTATTCGTTTGCAATTGTAAAAAATGATAGTTTAAATTTAACGTATGAACTACGTCTTTAATTTTTGTTTACATTTTTTTTTAAATAAAAAAATAAATAGAAAAAATAAAAATTAGTTTGTTAAAAATAATTTCTTTACTGAAAACTGGAATCAAAAATAATTTCTCTATAGAGAATATAATTCATTTTTTAAACTTCTTTTTTTTAAACTAAAAACCTGTTTTTATAATTTTACGAATGTAAAATAAATCAATAAAAAAAGAAATGAACCAAAAATACCAATTTTCAAAAATGGAAAAGTAATCACGAAAAAATTTGAATGATTTTATTTTATGAATTTCGAACACGACAGAAAATTCGAGAATAAATTGAAAAAATACAATTAATATTTTTTGTAATCCATACATTATTTTATATACCTGACAGTATTTGTTTGTTATTTTTAAATTATTTTAATTTAAAATATATTTTATCTATTTTTTATTTTTTATTATTATTTTATTATTCTTTTTTTGGGGACCACCTATGATATTTAATTTGAAAGTATAATTACGAAAAAAAAATGTCGTACAAGTGGAAGAAAAAGTAAAGTTAAATTTTGACGAGATAAATTATAAAAAAAAGGGAAATGAGAAAAACGAGTTTCTTTAATTATATGCATAAAGGAACTGAAAGCAGTTAAATTATATATACCTGAAAATTTATATTAAAATTCAAATAATACTTTTTACTGGTTAAAACATTGTATAATAAAAATTTATGTAACGCCTTACGTCTTACCACTTATACTACTTGAATAACTTTATATACAATTTCTACATGTCTGACGTGAATGAGTTTTTACTACTGATCATCCGAAAAGCCGCGACAATTTTTCGTACAATATCAAAATAAAAATAGAAAAATTATACTTTTCTTTATTTTATTTTTGGTTTATTTTTTTAAATAATTAGTTTGAAATTCTTTTTCTTAAGTATAAAACTTTATATCGAACTTTGTACGTTTATTTAAAAAATATTATTAAACGTCTTTCAAACGTTTAATGTTCATAAAATCGCGACTCGTCTGACTATAATTAAGCTTTACTACTTGTTTGGCCTCAAATATTTATTTTTTAAACATTCTTTATTTATTCTTCAATATAACAAATAAATATAACAAAATTAAGTAAAAAAAATTTTTTTTAATCATATTTTCGGTTCATACTTTCGTTTAGAAAATAAAAAATAAAGAAAAATAAAGAAAAATAAATAAAAAATAGTTAAATAAATAACTAAATAATTAACTAAATTAATAGACAAATAAAAAATAGAACAAATGGAAATAATAATTAATAGAAAAAAATGAAAATATAGTTTAAAAAAAATATAGAGGCAATAAATATAAAAAATTTAAAGACAAATAAATGTGACGCGATCTGAAGAAAGGGACCTTAGAAGCAAATCATTTTAAGGTTGGGTTAGAGTTACTTTTTTCTTGTTTGAAAGTTTCTTTTTACTTATTTCGAATTAAAATCAGTGTTTATTAAATATTTTAGTTTTAATGAAGACTTAAACTTTAATGATTTATATTGACAGTTGATCCTTTTTTTGTATTTTCATTTAAAAAATTGCAAACATAACCTATAATTTTTTGCTTCTAAGGTCCCTTTCTTCAGATCGCGTCACAAATAAAAAATACAAATATAGTACAGTATGTAAAATAGTATGGCACAATATATACAATATAATAAATTATAATAATAGATATTTTCCATTTTATTTATATCTCGGAAATTTTCTGCTTTCGTGTATTAAAAAATTTCGCACTTATTTTAATCACTAAATAACTAAAATAAACTTTCATTTTCGTCAGTTGGATTTTACGAGAGACAATACTTTCACAGTATACACCGAATTGCAATAAGAATTCTTTTTTTTTTTTTTTAAAAAAAAAAGAGCAATTTGCATCCAAATCGCACTTCCGGTTATTTAAAATAAATATAAGGCAACATAACCTCTTTTTATATATTACATAAAATCAAATATTTCCTTTTTTTCATAAAATCTGCTCAGAATTTTAATATATAATTTTAGTCTTTGGCTTTGAAAAGAAATTAAATATTTAATTATAATTTAATTATATAAACTTAATTATAAATTTATTTATTAAAAAAAATATAAACAAAATCCAAAATAAATAGAAAATTATTATAGAAATAAATTTATTATGCACATTAAACTTTTAATCAAAAACAAGATCAGTCGATTTTTTCTTAGTATTAAATTAATATTATTTAATTATTTAATAATTAATATTTAATAATTTACTAATTTAATTTATGATTAAAAGTTTAATGTATATTAAATTTATTTCAATAATAATTTCCTATTTCTTTTTGGTTCATTTTTATTTTTTTAATAAAGAGAAAATCAAGAAGAAAATCAAAGAAGTGAATTAATTGATAATTAATTAATTTAATTAATTAATTAATTAATTGATAATTGATTAATTAAATAAATTAGTTGATAATTGATTAATTAAATAAATTAATTGATAATTAATTCATTAAATAAATTAATTGATAATTAATTCATTAAATAAATTAATTGATAATTAATTCATTAAATAAATTAATTGATAATTAATTCATAATTAATTAATTAAATTAATTAATTCATAACTAATTAATTAAATAAATTAAATCATAATTAATTTAATAAATTAATTGACAATTAATTTATTAAATAATTAATTAACAATTAATTTTATGTATAAAATAAATTAAATAATTAAATAAAAATTTTAATAAATTAAATTTCAAATAATTAAAACAATTTTTCTACACCTAGTTTTCATGAAGGAATTATTTGCCAATGTAAAAAATAAGAGAGGGGGGTAATGACACACGTGTATGATAATTGATTTCACGCCAAAGTGTTTATAAATAAAAATAGAAAAAGATCAATAGCTTATATCCTGTTTATCGAATTAGGCAAGATTGCGTTTTTTCTTCATTGTTAAAGATCACTTTCATTTATCAAGAAACAAAGATTAAAGAAAGAATTTGTTTTTTTAAATCATTGAAAGAATTATCTTTAAAAAACTGACTCAATTTCCCGCAAGGACAGAATTATAATGTCTATATGATATATTTATTTTTATTTAATTACAGCAATTAAAAAAAAATTTAATTCAATTAAAGAGAAAAGATTTTAATTTAATTCAATTAAACTTGTTTTTTTTCAAATGGAAAAAATTTTGTTACATAGCTAAGAAAATTATTTTCAAATTGAGAGTAATGTGCGCATCTAATTTTGTATATTTTACTATCGACTTGAAATTAAATAAAATTTTCCTTTTTTTAATTTTATAATATTATTATTGTATTATATTAGATAATTTATAATAAATATAATAATATAACGAAATTAAAATCCGGCATTATTTTTTGGTTCAAATAAAAAGAAACAAAAAAAAATGAATAAATCAATTATTAATTTAAATTATTTAAATGGTAGATTATAATTAACTGTATTAAATAAATAATTGTTTGTGTAATACTTTCTATTTAAATGAATAAAATTAAATAGTATTTACTTCTTTACTCTTCAGTTGCATAGTTTTCTCAATTTAAAAAAAATTAATTGCTCTCACACTGAAAGAAATGTATTTGCTTCAAACAACCGATTTGTCTTATCAAATAAATATTTACTTGAATGAAATAATTTTTTACTCGAATCGAATTGAAAATAGTATTTGTACCAATAATTTCAGTATTTGTAGCAAATAATATGATTTAATTGATTCAAATAAATATTTATTTGGCAAAATTCAAGATTATTTGATTCAAAAAAATATTTATTTGGCAAAATCCAAGATTATTCGATTCAAATAAATATTTATTTGGCAAAATCCAAGATTATTTGATTCAAATAAATATTCATTTGTCAATAGCCAAATAATTATTTTATTCAAATAAATTTCTTTGACAAAAGAAAAAATAATCGATTATTTGATTCAAATAATTATTTTCCCCATGTCTATTGTTTACGA